TCATACCGACCCCTAAGACACCCCCACTCGGTGCGGCTTCCCCATTGACCCTGGCGTTTTGGAGACCCGTCAGTTAGCCAGGTCGCAGGGTCCGTATGCGGCTAGAGGGAGCTAGGTGGCGGGTGTGTAGGGGAAGGGGGGGAGAGCGGGGGTGGGAGGAGGAATGGGTCGATGCAGGGATGTGTGTGGGGAAGGATGTGGATTGAGATGGATAGACGGAGAGAGTGGGGTGGGGCCCTGGAGGGAAGGGTGGATAGACGGACGCCAGGGGATGGATGGACGGACAGATGGACAGTGGGGTTTGTGGGGAGAGGGATAGAAAAGTGACTCTGGAGACGTATGGAGGGATGGGTTACACAGGACACAAAGCCAGGCGGGGGTGTGTGGGGGGGATCTCTCTCCAGGACACATAGAGCCTGGGGGGGGGAGGAGGGAATCTCTCTACAGGACACACAGAGCCAGGCTGAGTTGGGGGCTGTTTCTCTACAGGACACACAGAGCCCAGGCTGGGGGCCAGGATGTTGTGACAGAGTGAGAATTTTCTGTACTATTGTTACCATCCCAGTGGGTGCCTCAGTTTCCCTCTGTACTTTGCATTGCAACCCAGTGGGCCCACAGGGGTTCAAAATAATGGCCCCTTGGGGAACAGCAGGAGACAGGAGGGGTGGGGGGCACACCTGCCTGGGGTGGTATGAATGAGGCCACTAGAGGACTGGCTGAAACGGGCCCCAAAAGGCAAGGGCCGGCTTCTGCGAGAGAGAGGGCAGCTCTCATGTGTGGGACTGACCGGGGGGGCGGGGAGCCAGAAAGGGCCATGGCTGAAGATCTGGCTTGGCCAGGTAGGACTTTGTCCTTCTCTGGATGTCTTTGTGCTCAGCTAAGGACTTCCCGATGCTGCGCTCCAGCTACTTCTGCCTGGAAAACTCTATGGCAAACCCTGGCTGGGGGGGTGCCAATCCCTGCCAGGGCCGGGGAGGGGGGGCACGTCTCTACCAGGAGGCTGCCTGGATTGGACTCGGGTCTGAAGTAGTGGGGGCTGGAGCCCAGAGGCCATCTTGGGGGCGGAAAAGGAAGAGCGGGGTTCCCAGGGGCAGTCTGGTGCATTGATGGGTTCCTCCTGGGGGCCATTTAGGGTGACCAGATGTCCTGATTTGATAGGGACAGTCCCGATTTTGGGGGCTTTTTCTTATATAGGCACCTATTACCCCCCACCCCCATCCCGATTTTTTACACTTGCTGTCTGGTCACCCTAGGGCCATTCAAAAGCTGGGGTGCAGTACAGAACCCATGGGTCTGTGACAGATGTACATACAGATACACAGGGCCAGGCTTTGGGGTGTCTATATATGGGACACCCACAGCCAGGTTGAGGGGGGGCATCTGTGCATGGGACACACACAGAGCCAGGCTGGTGGGGAGGGTCTATCTATGGAGGACACACATGGGCAGGTTTGGGGGCGGGGTCTATATATGGGACACACACAGGGCCAGACTGGGGCGGGGTCTATATATGGGGCACACACAGGCTGGGAGGATATATATAGGACACACAGAGCCAGGCTGGCGGGTGAGGGGCAGCTGGTTGTGGGGGGCCATACAGGGAGGACACAGGCTGGCAGGTGAGGGGCAGGCCGTACCGGCTGCCTCAGTTTCTCCGTTGGCCTCAAGTGGAAAGCCCCACGCGCCTCCTGGGTCTGAAACGAGGCCAAAGGAGGCGTCCCCGTCCACCCCGCGCGTGTCACTCAGCCACCCTCACACACCCAGGGCCCCTCGTGCACAGATTTACACCAAAACCACGCCCACCATCGCGGGGCTGTCATTCCAAGAGACACACCCAGGCGCGAACGCAGGCGACAAGGCCCGGTGAAACACACCCGTGTGACGGCACCAACGTGGAGACAAGCCCCCCCGCTCCCCTCGCACCAGCACTGAATTCACACCTGTGCGCAGATGCATCCACCGACATTACACACCTGTACATGTGCAGAGTGACACCTGTGGATACACGCACAGGCAGCCCCCCCCCCGCCAGGTAGACACGTGGGCGTACAAAGAAGAATGCATTTTCACAAATGCAGAGACACAGATCCCCGGGCAAGCACGTGCTGAGATAATGCTCGCACCCACCGAGAGCTGCACGCTGAGATAAGGCACGCACCCCCCCCCGAGGGAGCACGCACACCCAGGCATGCACACGTGTGTGTGCACACAGATAAAGGGGCGTGTGTGCACGCACACACACGCGCAGGCAGGCACACCCAGAGATTATGCATGTGCACACCCCCCCCCAGAGATCTGCGCAGGCTCCCAGAGATCATGCGTGTACACACACACACACACTCACACGCACACGCGCGCACACCCAGAGACAATGCACGCACGCACGCACCCAGAGAAACGAACAAAGATGCACGCACACCGAGATCTACGCCCTCACTGTCTCTCTCTCTCTCTCTCACACACACACACATAGATGCGTGCACACCCGCCCCCGAGATAACGCACATGCACGCACACACACTCACATGCCTGGCAGCACATGTGCACCCGCTGCTGTCCCCAGGCAGCTTCCCGCTTGGCTCTCCAGCCCCCCCCCCCCCCCGCCTGCCTCCTCTCCTCTCCTTCCCCCCCTCCCGCCCCCGAAACCATTTCTGGAGTTGGGGTGGGGGGAGAGGCTGCAAAGCCACAGAGCAAACCGGGGCACCCGGGGCAAGTGTTGCTCGAAGCCACAAGCCCGGGGCCAGGAGAAACGGGGTTGGGGGAGACCCCAGAGGAGTCGGGGCCAAGCGACTCGCCCCTCCCCCACCCCAGCTGTGCCCCCAGACAAAGGCAGCTGCTCTCCGGGGTCCCCTCGCTCCTCGAGCCTCCCAAAAGTCACTGCCAAGGCCATGCAACCTCCCCTCCCCCCATGGGAACCCCCCCCTTCCATTCAGTCCCCAGGGATACCAGCCAGGCCTCCCCCCACCCCGTCCATCCCCCAAACTCTCCTTCATGGGGACCCCATCCATCCAGCCCACTACCATTCCCCTATGGGGACCCCGGCCAGCCAGCCTCCTGCCCCTCCTCTGCCAGGGATCCCAGCCAGCCCCAGTTCAGTTCCCCCCCGTCACATCTCCAGCCCAGTATACTCCCCAGCGATCCAACCCCTCCCCCCACGAAGACCCCATTCATCTAGTGCCCCCTTCCACAGGGACCCCAGGCCAGCCAACTACCTGCCCCTCCCTGTAAGGGAGCCCCCAGCTCAGTAACCCCACCCCCTTGCCACACAGGGAACCCCTGTCCAGCCAGCTCTCCTGCCCCTCTCCACACAGGAACCCCGGTCCCCTTGCCCCTCCCCCTGCAGGGAACCCCTGGCCAGCCAGCCCCCCATCCCTCCCCACACAGGGAACCCCGACCAGCTCCCCCTTCCCCTCCCCACAGGGGCACCCTGGCCCCCGTGCCCCTCCCCACACAAGGATCCTCGATCAGCCAGCCCCCCTGCCCTTTCCACATAGGGAACCCTCGACCAGCCTCCTGCCCCTCCCCACACAGGAAACCCCCGACCAGCCGCCTTACCCACCCCACATACGGACCCCAGCCAGCCTCCCCACCCCACACAAGGACCCCGACCAGCCAGCCCCACACAGGGATCCCCGACTAGCCAGCCCCCCTGCCCCTCCCCACACAGGAGCCCCGGCCCCCGTGGGCTGCCTGCCCCTTACCTGCCGATGGCTGGGGGGGGGCTGGGGGGCGCTCAGCACGACTGTCCTGTGGGGGGGACCATGGTGGCGGCCCCCCCCGGCGCTGGCCCCCCCCGGGCGATGGGCGGGTGTCTCAGCCCCACGCGCGGCGCGGTCGCGGTCCCGTCCCCGTCCCCATCTCCGTTCGCTTGCGCCTGGTCCCGGCTCCCGGGCTGCGCGCTCGCTCGCCCCCCCCGCCTTGGATGATGCTGATCAGCCCGCCCCCCCCAGTACCACCCACCAGGTGCCACCCCCCGGTACCGCCCCCCAGCCGCCGCTCTTCAGGAATGCCCCGCCCCCCCATTCATACCCCCCCGGTACCGCCCCCCCCGGTACCATCCAGCCTGCACCGCCCCCCCCGGCATTGCCCCCCCGCCCCAGCCGCCGCTGTTCAGGAATGTCCCGCCCCACCCCCCAGTATCATCCAGTCGGCACCACCCCCCCCCCAGGCATTGCCCCCCCGCCCCAGCCGCCGCTGTTCAGGAACGTCCCGACCCCCCCGTATCATCCAGTCGGCACCACCACCCCCCGGCATTGCCCCCCCGCCCCAGCCGCCGCTGTTCAGGAATGCCTCGCCCCCCATTCGTACCCCCCCGGTACCATCCAGCATCCAGCCACTACCGCCCACCCACTCCCCCCGGTATCATCCACCCGCATCGCCTCCCCCCGGCATTGCCCCCCCCCGTATCATCCAGCCGGGACCTCCCTCCCGGTACCGCCCGCCCCCCCCCGCTGCCGCTGTTCAGGAATGCCCGGGTCCTCCCCGCTCCCCCCCATTCGTAGCCGCCCCCCCAATCCACCCGGCACCGCCCCCCCACCCACCCCCCGCTGCCGCTGTTCAGGAATGCCCGGGTCCTCCCCGCCCCCCCCATTCGTAGCCGCCCCCCCAATCCACCCGGCACCGCCCCCCACCCCGCCGCTGCCGCTGTTCAGGAATGCCCGGGTGCGCGCCGCTCCCCCCCCCCCCCCGCCATTCATAGCCAGGTCCGCCCCCCCCACCATCCCCTCCGTTACTACCCACAATCCAGCCGGTTCCAGCCCCCCCCCCCATGCCCCCCGCGCCTGCCGCTGTTCAGGAAGGCATGGGGGGGCACCCCACTCCTCCCCCCAGCACTATTCACAGCCAACCCCCCCCTCCCTGTACCCTCCAATGCCCCCCCACCTTGGTACTAGCCCCTCCCCTTGCAGCCTGCTGTCCCCAGCTCAGGACCACAGGGGGCTGCTGCGCCCCCCCCCCAGTCACGTCCAGCACTCCCCGCCGCCCCCTCCGCCCCACGCCCGCCTACCACTGTTGTCCAGGGACCCATGGGGCAGCCCCACGCCCCCGCTCCATTCGTGGCCGGAACATTTCCCCCCACCCCCACGCTCTCCACCCCCGTGAGACCGGGCGCCCACGGGGACATGCCCGGGCCACGCGAATACAGAAACGGGGCACGGCCCGTGACCTGCGTGGGCCACGGGAACACATGCGGACCCAGGGCGCACGCTCTGACATCCGACGACCGCACTGCCCGGCCCCGGTATGCGCCGTAAGACACCCGTGGCCTATGGAAGTCCACGCGTGGGCACAGCCAGATGCTTTGACATTCATCGGCCACCCCACCCCACCCACGATGTGGGGCCCAGGCTCCCATGGGGATGGGGATGGGCAAAGACACACGGACCCACTGTACGGCAGGGAGGGGGGCTGGGGTCAACACACACACACACACACACACACACACACACACGCACGTAGCCCGCGGCGCTGGGCCTGGCAACCTCAGCCCCACACATCTGGTTTGGATCAGCTGCCTCTTGGCCGGGGTCCCAGCCCCTCCAGCCCCCCCGCCAGCCCCAGCGGCGCCGCCCGGACAGGCGGGACCAGTGCGTCTGGGACGGGGGGGGACGGAGCCGGCATGGCCGTGGGGTGCGGGGCGCTGCTGATGCTGGGGGTGCTGCTGGCGACCGGCCAGGGCCGGCAGCTCAGTTCGGAGGAGGAGAGGCAGGCCCTGATGCTGAAGGTGAGGGGGGTGCCGGGCCGGGGGATGGTCAGCGGGTCCCCCCAATTAACCCAGGCCCACGGGGTCCCTCCCCTGGAACCCCCCATCCCAATGTCCCAGCCCCTCCTTGGGGGCTCGCCCCTGCACCCCCGCAGCTCGGGGTCCCACCCTCTCCCATCACTCTGCCTCAGGTCCCCATTCTCACAGCCTCTGGTTCAGGGTCCCCCTCTTCCCCAGCCCAACCCCCCTCCCCGAGGTTTCCCTACCCCCATTGGGGTCCCCCCTCTCCCCAGGTTCCCACCCCCTTCCCGGGGCTGGAACTCACAGCTGAGCGCAGCTGCCTTATGTAAGGGTCTCATCTGGCCCAACCTCAAACATGCCCGTCTCAGAGCCCGGGGATGCAGATGACACCCCCGTCACTGCATGGGGATGGGAGGAGGGGGCTCGGACACCAAGGTCACAGAGCTGGGAACAGAACCCAGGAGTCCTGGCTCCCAACCCCCCGGCTCTAACCACTAGACCCCACTCCCCTGCCAGAGCTGGGGAGAGAACCCAGGAGTCCTGGCTCCCAACCCCCCAGCTCTAACCACTAGACCCCGCTCCCCTGCCAGAGCTGGGGAGAGAACCCAGGAGTCCTGACTCACGGCCCCCCTCCTTCTTCCACTCTAATCCACTAGACTGGGAGTCCCACATATCGATTCCCAGACAGCACCACAAAAGGTGCATGCCCCCCCCCCCCCCGCACACACACACATTCTGTGCAGCAGCCATGGGGCAGGCCAAGGGGGAGGGATGGAGGGCAGGGTCTGGATGATGGGAAGCTGGACGGGGGAATAGGGAGGAGGCTGGCAGGGGATGGGAAGTGGGGCAGGGGGAGGCTGGCAGGGGATGGGGGAGAAGGGCTGGCGGGGTGGCATGAGGGGCTGGGGGCAAACCCCAGGGCAGGAGGGTCATTCTTCCCCTCTCTCCCCACAGCACCTGCAGGAGGTGCTGCAGCTGCCAGAGGAGGAGGGAGAGGGGCCCCCCGAGATGACACTGACGGAGCTGGCCCCCGAGGGAGGCGAGGGAGAGGAGGAAGGGGAAGAGGGGGAGGGGGCATCCATCGAGGGGGACGTTCAGCCCACCCAGCCAGCCCCGACCACAGCAGCCCCTCGGCCAGAGGAGGACGAATTCACTTACGTGTGTGAGTATGGGGGGCTCAGGGCCCTGCCCCCCACAGCCCCAGCCTTAGCCCAGTGCCCAGCCCCCCACAGCCACAGCCTGGCCTGGCCCCGGTGCCCTGCCTCCCAAAGCCCCAGCTGGGGGCTTCCCAGGTCCATGTATGGGTTGGAGTTCTGGGGGGACAGAGGCAAGGGACGGGGGCGGGGATGTGGGGGGGCTCCAGGGGCAGGGCAGCGGGTCTGACGGTCCATGAGGGACGGGGGCGGGGAAGTTGGGGAGCCGGGGGCAGGGCAGCGGGTCTGACGGTCCGTGGGGGACGGGGGCGGGAATGGGGGGGCTCCAGGGGAGGGGCGGCGTGTCTGATGGTCCATGGGGGACGGGGGCGGGGATGGGGGGGCTTGGGGGAGGGGCGGCAGGTCTGATTGTCCGTGGGGGATGGGGGCAGGGATGTGGGGGGGGCTCTGGGGGCGGGGCGGCGGGTCTGACGGTCCGTGGGGGATGGGGGCGGGGATGTGGGGGGCTCCGGGGGCGGGGCGGCGGATCTGATTGTCCGTGGGGGACGGTGGCGGGGATGGGGGGCTCCAGGGGCGGGGCGGCGGATCTGATTGTCCGTGGGGGACGGGGGCGGGGATGGGGGGCTCCGGGGGCGGGGCGGCGGGTCTGATTGTCGTGGGGGATGGGGGCGGGGATGGGGGCTCCGGGGGCGGGGCGGCGGATCTGATTGTCCGTGGGGGACGGGGGCGGGGATGGGGGGCTCCGGGGGCGGGGCGGCGGGTCTGACGGTCCGTGGGGGATGGGGGCGGGGATGTGGGGGGCTCCGGGGGCGGGGCGGCGGATCTGATTGTCCGTGGGGGATGGGGGTGGGGATGTGGGGGGGCTCCGGGGGGGGGGCGGCGGATCTGATTGTCCGTGGGGGATGGGGGCAGGGATGTGGGGGGGCTGTGGGGGGCGGGGCGGCGGGTCTGACGGTCCGTGGGGGATGGGGGCGGGGATGGGGGGCTCCGGGGGCGGGGCGGCGGGTCTGACGGTCCGTGGGGGATGGGGGCGGGGATGTGGGGGGCTCCGGGGCGGGGCGGCGGATCTGATTGTCCGTGGGGGACGGGGGCGGGGATGTGGGGGGCTCCGGGGGCGGGGCGGCGGATCTGATTGTCCGTGGGGGATGGGGGCAGGGATGTGGGGGGCTCCGGGGGCGGGGCGGCGGATCTGATTGTCCGTGGGGGATGGGGGCGGGGATGTGGGGGGGCTGTGGGGGCGGGGCGGCGGGTCTGACGGTCCGTGGGGGACGGGGGCGGGGATGGGGGGGCTCCGGGGGCGGGGCGGCGGGTCTGACGGTCCGTGGGGGACGGGGGCGGGGATGGGGGGGCTCCGGGGGCGGGGCGGCGGGTCTGATTGTCCGTGGGGGATGGGGGCAGGGATGTGGGGGGCTGTGGGGGCGGGGGGCGGGTCTGACGGTCCGTGGGGGATGGGGGCAGGGATGTGGGGGGGGCTCCGGGGGCGGGGCGGCGGGTCTGATTGTCCGTGGGGGATGGGGGCGGGGATGGGGGGGGCTGTGGGGGCGGGGCGGCGGGTCTGACGGTCCGTGGGGGACGGGGGCGGGGATGGGGGGGCTCCGGGGGCGGGGCGGCGGGTCTGACGGTCTCCCCCTCCACCCCGGCAGTCTCGCGGCTGGACAGCCTGGACGCGGCCGTGCACCGGCTGAACGTGCAGTTCTACACCATGGACCTGCGCCTGTCCCAGGTCTCCCAGGGCCTGGCCGAGCTGCGGGGGCAGCTGGCCGAGGCCCAGGAGGGGCTGAGCGCCCTCCGCCAGACCAGCACCCGCAACCAGCAGGACATCGGCAAGATCGACGGTGAGCGCAGGGCGGGGCAGAGGGCAAAGGTCAGAGGGCTACCCCCATCCATGGGGTCGGAGGGCAAAGGTCAGAGGGGTGCCCCTCCACCCTGGGTCAAAGGGGAAAGGTCAGTGGTGGGTCAAAGGGGGAAGACCAGCCAGATAGCCACATGCCAGGGGCCAAGGGGCAAAGGTCAGAGGGCTACCCCCATCCATGGGGTCGGAGGGCAAAGGTCAGAGGGGTGCCCCCCCACCCTGGGTCAAAGGGAAAAGGCCAACAGGACAGCCACATTCCAGGGGTCAGAGGGCAAAGGGCAGAGAGGTGGCCCCGTCTCAGGTCAGAGGGCCAAGGTCAGAGGGTGTAGCCTCTCTCTGGGTCAACGGGGAAAGGGCAATGGGGCTAACCCCACTCTGGGTCAGAGGTCAGCAGAGAGGGGGACCCAGCTGTGGACCGAAAAGGAGTCAAAGGGGACAGCAGCCCACCCCGGGTCAGACAGCAAAGGTCAGCGGGGTGAGCCCTCCCCTGTGCTAGTTGGGACAGGCCCCTGGATCACAGGGCAAAGGGCAGTGGGTCAAGGTGCAAAGGTCGCCCTCTCGCCCCTCCCCCCTCCCGTGGGGCGAGAGGGGCGAGATTGGGGGGCAGGGCAGAGGAGATACTCACCTGCCGGCTGCAGTCGGGGGGGGGGGGGCAGGAGAAAGGTCAGGGGTCAGAGGCTAAAGGTCACCATTTGCAGAGCAGGGGGGCAATCAGAGGTCACAGGCTGCTCCCTGTCCCCCCCCCCCTTGCAGGCTGCCTGCGGGGCCGGAGAGTCCACGCCAAATGCTTCCTGATCGTGAAGCAGTTCGAGGGCTACGACGGGGCACAGGAGCTGTGCCGGCTGCGGGGCGGGAACCTGGCCATGCCGGCCGACGCCACCGAGCTGGCCGCCCTGCGCCGCTACCTGCATGAGGCCTTCCAGCCCTTCAACTGGCCGGCCTGGGTGGGCATCCACGACCGGCGGGCCGAGGGCCTGTGGCTGTACGAGAGCGGCCAGCGCGTCTCGTTCTTCGACTGGTACCGGGACCACCTGGTGAGCCAGCCCAACGGGGGCGCCCGGGAGAACTGCGTCTCCCTCTCCTCCGACGACGGCAAATGGTGGGACAACGACTGCGCCCGGCGCATGTACTATGTCTGCGAGTACCAGCTCTAGGGGGGATTGGCTCCCGCCCCCGGGACCCTGCACCCTGAGACCCAGCATCCCCCTGCCCGCAGACCCTGCGCCTGCCCCTTAGGGACCCAGCATCCCCCAGCCCGGAGACCCTGCGCCCAGAGACCCAGCACCTGACCCTAGGGACCCAGCATCCCTCAGCCCGGAGACCCTGCGCCCAGAGACCCAGCACCTGACCCTAGGGACCCAGCATCCCTCAGCCCGGAGACCCTGCGCCCAGAGACCCAGCACCTGACCCTAGGGACCCAGCATCCTCCAGCCTGGAGACCACGCCCTGGGACCCTGGCCCGGAGACCCAGCACCTGCCCCCTAGGGACCCTGCACCCAGAGACCCAGCACCTGACCCTAGGGACCCAGCATCCCCCAGCCTGGAGACCCTGCGCCCAGAGACCCAGCACCTGACCCTAGGGACCCAGCATCCTCCAGCCTGGAGACCCAGCACCCGCCCCTGGGACCCTGCGCCCAGAGACCCAGCACCTGACCCTAGGGACCCAGCATCCCCCAGCCTGGAGACCCGGAACCCGCCCCTGGGACCCTGCGCCCGGAGACCCAGCACCTGCCCCCTAGGGACCCTGCACCCAGAGACCCAGCACCTGACCCTAGGGACCCAGCATCCCCCAGCCTGGAGACCCTGCGCCCAGAGACCCAGCACCTGACCCTAGGGACCCAGCATCCTCCAGCCTGGAGACCCAGCACCCGCCCCTGGGACCCTGCGCCCAGAGACCCAGCATCTGTTCCCTTAGGGACCCAGCACCCGCCCTCTCCAGAGACCCTGCACCCCCCAACTCAATGACCCACCACCTGCCCCCCACCAGGGGCCCTGCAACATCCCCTCCCCCCCGCCTGTGACCCTGCACCATCCAGCCTGGAGACCCAGCACTCACCCCCACCCCAGAGACCCTGCACCCCCCAGCCCAGAAACCCAGCACCTGTCCCCCACCATGGACCCTGTATCCCCCAGCCCGGAGACCCAGCACCTGTCCCTCCCAGGGACCCTACACCCCCCAGCCTGGAGACACAACACCTGCCCCCCAGGACTGGCACCTCCCAGCCCAGAGACCCAGTACCCACCTCCCCCCAGAGATCCTGCACCCCGGAGAATCAGTTCCCAAACCCCCATCAGCCACCCATCTACTCCTGACAGGACAATGATTACTCCCATCCGTGCCCCCCCCCCCCCAATCCAGAGACCCAAATGCCGACACCTGACAATGTATCACCACATGTATTTGCTCAAGGGGAAACTACTCCCCTGCCAAGAACCACCTCTGGGGAGCCCCCCATAACCAGCTTTCATGGAGGAGGCAGCTGGCTGCCTGCTGCAGCAAGGAAAGGGTTAATCCCTCTCTCCCATTGCCCCCCCCCAGGTCTGAACAGAACCCCAGGGATGACCTATTACCCAGATGCTAGGGGGTCAAAGATCGTCACCTGGGGGGGAATGTGCTCTGGTCCCCATGTCTGGCTAGCCCAGACACACACACTGGGACAGTCTCCTCCCCCACCCCCCTCTCGGCCTCACATGGCCCCTTGGATTGATCCCCCTTTGGCCTCACTTTCCCCCCCAATACCATGCATGTGATCCCCCCCCCCAGGCCTGTTCTCCCAGGCATGAGTCCCCAGGGCACAGCACCAATGCTGTCCCCACCCAAGGGCAGCCTCCCCTCCCACCCTCCCAGTTACACTCGCAAGCATCTCTGGTAAAATAGAAACTCTTTTATTCAGCTTTAGTTTGGTTTTTTGGTTTCCTTTCCTGCCATGGCAGCCCCGGTCTGCGGCCGGCAGGGGTAGGGGAAGGCGCCATGGGCTCCCCTCCCCAGGCCGGGCCTGGGCCGCAGAAACCCGCTTAGACTCGTGGGAACATTTCTGCTTGGACTTCAAAACTCTGGGTGTACAATCTCAGCATTCAGCTACACATGCGGGGTGGGGCTGGGTCAAGGGTGCCAGGGAGGGGATGAAAGGGACTGGGTGGGAGGGAGAACTTGGGGGAGGCGGGGGGGGGCAGAGGGTCACGGGTGCAGTGCAGGGCTGGGGCGAGCAGGGGGCAGAGGGTCACAGGCGCAGGAATGGGGAGATCAGGGGCAGTGCAGGGCTGGGGGTCACAGGGGATGGGGTGGGGGAGATGGGGGGGCTCCATTCTTTGGTTTGAAATTATTAGCTGCATCATGGTGTCTGCTGCTATGGGGGGGGGAGCTGGTGCATGGGGAGTCCCCCATTGAGCCTGGGTGGCTGGTGGGGTGGGGGCATGACATACAGTGATCACAGTGCAGTCGTAGGGTTGTGGGGGGGGTCAAACACATCTCCCCCCAGTATAGACGGCTCCAAAAGAAAGTGGGGGAGGCCCTGGCTCTGTCCTTGTGCTGTGACCCTCCCTCCAAGTACCCATGGACTATTCCACCCTCACCTTCCCAGCTTACATGGACTATTCCTCTCTTGTCCCCCACCCCCATCGCACATGGCACCTCACCCCCCTCCCTCAGCACACATGGAATATTCCTCCCTCAACCCCCCCTCCCAGCTTACATGGACTATTCCGCTCTCATACCCCCCACACACACATGGATTCAGGCACCCCCCTCCTCCACATGGACTATTCCTCCCTCACTCCCCCCTCCCAGCACAAATAGACTATTCCTTCTCATCCACACACACCCCCACCACACATGGACTATTCCTCCCTCGCCCACCGCCCACTGCACATGAGCCTCTCTCTCACTCCCCCCCTAAGCTAATGAACTTGGACGATTCCTCCCTCCCCACTATTCCAGCACCCACCCCAGCACTGGTGGGCCATCCCCATCCGAGACATAGGGGGCTGGCTGTTTGCCACCATGGTGCTTGGCCCATGGGGCAGCCCCCCCAGGAGCCTTGGAAGCGCTGGATATGACGTTTTTGGTGCCAGGGGGTGAATATGGAAGGGGGGTCCTTGCAGGGTGGAGGCACCAGGGACTCCACAAGTTCCCCCCCCCCCACTGGGGCAGGAGACACAGACCCTTAGTCCCTTCCTCCCCAGGCAGGAGGTACAGCCCAGGTTCCCCCCAGAACAGGAGGTACAGGCAGGGGTCCCCCCCCCCCACAGGGGAGGAGGTACAGCCCAGGATCATCACCCCCAGGGCAGAAGGTACAGTCCAACCCCCCCCCCCCCCGCAGGGCAGAAGGTACAGCCCAGGGTCCTCTCCTCTCCCAGGCAGGAGGTACAGCCCAGCGTTCCATTCCTGCCCCCGCTCCCCCCCCAGGACAGAAGGTACAGCACAGGGTCTCCTCCTCCCCCCCTTGCAGGAGGTACAGCCCAAGGTTCTGTTTATTATAACACCCCCCACCCAGGGCGGAAGGTACAGCCCAGGGTCCCCCTCCCCCCGCAGGGCAGGAGGTACAGCCCAGGGTCGTCCCCCCCAGGGCAGGTGGTACAGGCCAGGGTCCCCCCTCCCCCCCCAGGAGGTACAGGCCAGGGTCCCCCCCCCAGGAGGTACAGCCCAGGGTCGTCCCCCCCAGGGCAGGAGGTACAGGCCAGGGTCCCCCCCACCCCCACAGGAGGTACAGCCCAGGGTCCCCCCCCGGGGTACAAGCCAGGGTTCCATTCCCCCCCCCCAGGAGGTACAGCCCAGGGTTGTCCCCCCAGGGCAGGAGGTACAGGTCAGGCCCCCGCAGGAGGTACAGGCCAGGGTTCCTCCCCCCCCCCAGGGCAGGAGGTACAGCCCAGGGTCCCCCCACCCCCACAGGAGGTACAGGCCAGGGTCGCCCCCCCGCAGGAGGTACAGGCCAGGGTTCCACCCCCCCCCCCCCCCCAGGAGGTACAGCCCAGGGTTGTCCCCCCAGGGCAGGAGGTACAGGCCAGGGTTCCCCCCCCCCCCACAGGAGGTACAGCCCAGGGTTCCATCCCCCCCCCCAGGAGGTACAGCCCAGGGTTCCATCCCCCCCCCCAGGAGGTACAGCCCAGGGTCCCCCCCCCGCAGGAGGTACAGGCCAGGGTTCCATCCCCCCCCCCCAGGAGGTACAGCCCAGGGTCCCCCCCAGGGCAGGAGGTACAGGCCAGGGTTCCGTCCCCCCCCCCCCAGGGCAGGAGGTACAGGCCAGGGTTCCGTCCCCATCCCCCCCGGGGCAGGAGGTCCAGCCGGGCTCCCCGGCCCCGGCTCAGAGCACGGCCCGGTTGCCGTGCAGGAAGACCATCATGTCGACGTGCTCCGGCGCCAGGGCCGCCCGCTTCTTGTAGACGGCCTGGCCGGCCTCCCCGAAGAGCCAGGCGGCGGGGGCGGCCGTGGCGGGCACGCACAGCAGCTGGCGGGCCGCCCGGGCCAGCAGCGGGTACTGGGCGTGGTGCGTCTTCCACCACTGCAGGGGCTCCTGGCCCAGGGAGGAGGCCCCGGCCGTCTGGAAGCTGGCGCTCTCCTGCTCCGCCCGCTGCTGCACCGAGCCCGCCCCCGCCCCGCCCCGCCCGCCGCACAGGTCCCCCAGCAGGTACTCGATGGCCGAGTCCTGCCGGGGCTGCTTGGGGGGCGGGGGCGGCGGGGAGGGGCTGGCGCCGGGCGCCTCGGCCAGGCGGGCGGCCTCCAGCGTCAGCAGCCGCAGGGTCTCGGCGCGGTCGGGCTGGCTCAGGAAGTCCAGGCTGCGGAAGCGGGGGTCCAGGGCGCAGGCCAGGTTGAGGGCGCGCTCCACCCCGGGCTCGGCGTAGCACCGGCTCAGCTCCCGGTGGGCGGCCCCTTGGCCGCCCGCGCCAGCTCCGAGTCCCACTCGCCCGTTGCCAGGTGCTTGTAGAGCAGGGAGGTGAGGACGGGCTTGACCAGCGACAGCCCGGCGAAGGGCTCCTTGGTGAAGGTGGAGGCGGCCACCGCCAGGGGCTTGAGGACGTCGGCCGCGTCCTGGAGCGCGGCCCAGTCCTGGGGGCGCAGGGCCGGCTCCCCCTCGGGCCCCAGCCCGGCCAGCGCCTCGGCCTGCTCCAGCAGCCCCTGCAGCAGCCCGTGGGCGCTCTGCCACTGGGCCCCGTCCCGCAGGAGCCGCTTGAGCTGAGCCCGGAGCCGGGGCTCCTCGGCGCGGCCCGGCCCGGCCAGCGCCCACGCCGCCAGGCGCCGGCAACGCTCCAGGGCGCTCCGGATAGGCGGCAGGCCCAGCACGGCCTCCGTGGCACCCT